GGTTGGGTTTCAGAGGAAACGGAGCCCATGACGGACGTCACCTACAACACCACTGCTTGTCTCGCCGCCGATCGTCCGCAGAGCTGCTCTGGACTCACCTTGCACCTCGGTGCAGGCACTCGCTTCGGTCAAGCCGTTCCAACATCTAGCTGTAGCTGCAACGTCCCTACGGGAACCCAAAGGAAACAGGAAGCCTAAGAAAATCACCAGTTTTAGATTTGGGCACATTTGGAGGCTCGGTACCCCTTTTTGGTTTTGATTGGTTTAAAGGAAACACGAAAGCACACCACGCTCATCTACTAGCTGCAGGGCCTCTTAGAGTATGCTAGGGGCCACTTTTTAAGAATCGCCCGGATACTAGACTTAGATCCGAATCCTTGCAATATGGGCGTGGCTAAGGTTTTGGGCAGTCCCTTTGCACCTTTGGTTAAACGGACAACACCAAAATCCATGTGCTGTCGGCTCGAGAACAGATATGACGTATGTGTCATTGAAAACCGAACGATGAATAGAACACCCACGATTGAATGGGCGCTTGTTTGTCGATAAAGACCGTTGAAACCATTTGAAACATACTGATTTCCATTGAAACAATGAGACCAACACATTAGTTGCTGGCCAAAAGCACTTGCGTTCGAAGTTTGTTCAATCTCGGTTGTTTCTTTTGTTTGGGAAAGGGTTAATTATCAGGCAGCCCTAGATTGGTTTGGACTGACTGGTGGCTTGGGGATTTCGAACCCTCTCTTTTTGTTGCGGGTTGTCTGGGACACCGCCCTAACCTCCTAACCACCGGGCTCCAAACCAACAATTGGATGGAAGCTGAAGTTAACCGCTTGTAGTCAATTTGACTCGTGGAGTGACGTCTCGAATCCTCCAGCATCTGAGATTCGGAAGGAGGCTAGGGAAGCCTTCCGCGATGCGCGACCATGTCTTAGGGACCTAAAGGTCAAAATGGGGAACTAAAATGGATCCAACATGGAGAGTTTCCTAGGGTGACTATTCCATGGGTGGTTTTCTCTTACGATTTGCACTGCCAAAGAGGGTGTACCACCAACAAGATGCATATGGAAGCTTGGCCCTTGTCCGTGTTTCCCCATCCGCCCAAAAAACAACCCCCAAAAAGCCAGCAACTCTCACGAATGGCTTGCGGTTGGCACCTACTTCCAATTTCATTGAGGGGGAAACTGGGGAGGGCTATCAAGCCAGTCAGGCTTATTAGGGGGTTGTCTCCCTTGGAGGTTCATGAGACTTAGGAAAGTGTAGGATCCTCAGCCATTCCATCCGTGGGACACATAAAACCGGGAATTGGGACTCAACCTAACCCCTAGGATACCAGCTGACCGTCAAAAAACTCATCAACTGCCAGCTGATTCAGAGGATCCCAATCCTCGCAAAGCGAAATGCCCATGCCCTTGTGGCTTATGGAGAACCGGGCTCGTCTCAAATATAGGGGAGGCCAAAGATGCTCGGCTTCCAATCGGCTTCGCGACCAAAACAAAAAACGTCACCAAGAGAGATGCTGTTTTGAAAGACGCCAAGGGTCTGGGAGGTGTTAGACCGGTTTCTTCTCCAAAAGGTTAGTCTCAAGTTGGGAGTGCTGTGTTCCAGAAGGCTCTCCGATTCACATGGGAGCGGGTATGCGGGCGAATGCGAGCCCTCGAGCTGGCATAGGAGGTGAACCGCCGGTGTTTTTTCTCCTTTCAGCCGCGAATTTTTGAGCGACGAAGGGAAACCAACCGCGTTTCGGGTCTTTGACACCTAACCCACGAATCATGGATACGGGATTGAAATTTCCAGGGTGTCTCTGCAGTGATGTTTCGCCATGGTTCAAAACCAATGGGATCCCATTTTGGGGTAGGTGAATTCACCACCCATTTTAGAACCTACTTTTAGTGGGGATTGGTTGATGTTCACTGGGGGCTAACCGATTTGGGTTTTGACCCATGGCCATGTTTCGGCGTCCGTGAGCAGCTGCTCGCTCAGTGAATATCACTTGTTCCGCGCCTTCGGCATCGACTCCAAGTACAAGATGGTGGCGTCCAAGGACAATTTCGAATTGGCTGTGGTGAAAACCGTGTTGGGATCCCATTTTGGTAGGTGCACCACTCATTTTAGTCTATCGGTCAAAACCAATGGGATCCCATTTTGGTGGTGGACTACCAGGAATCCAAGAGAATGGACTACCAGGAATCCTTGTAGGTTTTTGTAGTCTACTCAGCTTTGTTTCACAGGTTTCCTTCTAGTCATTTGGCTGTGGTTGTCAAAACTGTCTTGGGATCCCATGTTGGTTGGTAGGTGAATTCACCACCCAGTTTAGAACCTATTGTAGTGGGGATTGGTTGATGTTCACTGGGGGTACGATTTTCATTTGGATTTTGACCCATGGCCAATTCTCCGGGTTTGCCCCTCTTCCCCAGAAATTTTGCCAGCTTCCATTTGCTTATAAGAATATTGTTGTTTTTCCGCGGTTGGTTTTAAAGGAAATCTATCACTACTGGATTTGTTTTCCAGGGGAGTTCAACAAATGGAGGCCAGACTTAACCAAATTTACTATTTGACCCTTTTGGCTTTCCCTTAGTCGGTTCCTAACTGCAAGTTAGCTTTCTGCATGGGGGGGAAGCGAAGTCAACGAACACCCAATCATCTTCTCCACCTCCAATGTGTTAACAAAAGTCGAAAGTTCATCTCACGAGACCTGTGGTCAGACATATGGCCCCCAAGACGTGTGTGAGTGTGTGTGTGTGTGTGTCGGGTTCCATGAGCACCCGGAACATCCACCAGAAAATGTGTGGCCTCAACAAATGAGTGGCTTGTGTTGAAAGCTCCAACCTGGGAGCGCCCGCGCAAGGCGCCCCTTGCAACAATGAGGGGTGCCGCAAGATAATGTTTTGAAGACTCAGACCCCGGTACCCCTATTTATCAGGAACCTAGAAGGAGTTGTTGATTTTCCCACATTTTATTTTATTGGGAGTTGTCTCACTGGGAATCTCCGAAGTGGGTACTTTCCCGCAGTCACGAGTCTTAGTTTGCAAGCCTGCTTCGCCTTGAATGGGAAACCGAGGACCAGGATGTTGTTTTGTTGCCCCCCAACAGCTGAAAGCTTGGGGTCTCAGCCCAGATAGGCTCCGGGGTGGTCCGGGGCGGCCCTGAGGTCAGGTTCCACGAGGGTTCCACCAGGGTTCCACCATGGTTCCACCGGGGTTCCACCAGGGCTCCACCAGGTGCTGCCACGGCTGCGGGGTGGTGCGCACTAAAAAAAGCACCGCATGCTGTTGGGGATATCACCTGGTCTTCTTTCAATCTATTTTCTTGTGTCGCATGGAACCGTTGCGCTTTTTGCCATTCGGCTCCGCCCGAGAAGAGCTGTTTGAGGCGCGAGCCCCCCCTGTTCGGGGCTTGATTCCACCGTCATGGCGGGTTCCCAATTTCGGGATTCCCTCAACAACCGCTTGGGAATTGGAATCGTGTTCTTTTTCCAGGGATAGAACAAACACATCTGCCAAACTCATTCATGCTTTTGTTGTAGGAATGCCTTGGTTAGCTAAACTTGACCGCCATGAGTCGTGAATGGGTGAAAAGGCGCTGCCTTCTTCAACTGGGTGCACGTTTTCTTGAGGCAAAGGCTACCCTGTTGAGGTTGCTCAGGTAAAAGGGAAAACTTGGGAAAGGCATGGGGGTCCCCTTCTCCAGAGTTTGACACATACCCTGTTCCACATTCGACAAAAGTTCTACCGGACAGGATCTCTTCATCATTCCCCACACGGCGATCGGAGTTTGCTTGGCCTCTCGGCCACGGGAATTGGTCCGAAGCTGCGACGTGTCGGGATTTGTCGTATGGTGGGAATTGGGATTTCGCTTAAGCAGGCGGGCGGCCAAAGAATTAAAGTGGCAAAACCAGCACTTAGTTTGGTGTTACAGGCCCTTAAGGTAAATCAAATAGGATTCTACGTAAGTTTCGCAAAGCCTGCGAGTTATTTGTTTGAACGACGCTCAACTGAAACTCGGCGAGATGGTTTCCCTTCCACTGGCTTCGAAGTTTGGCCCTTGGAAACACGAGAAGTTTGCTCGCACCCCTTGGGTTTCCCGGAACTCGGGGGCGCGTCCTTTTGTCCTCATCGTATTTGTTGGTTGTTTTTCAACGTCACTGGAATTTGGGACATTCCAGCCCCACAGCCATATGGAAAATGCCGGAGGGCGCAACTGATCGCTTCGGGAGCACCAAAACACGGCCCAAGGTCTTACGACATTGATATACATATATATATATATATATGTACAACTTCCCTCCGGCTTAGCACTCCCGACCCAACGGCACCGTTGAGAGATGACTGAAACTCCTGGGGCCAAGTTGTTAGGACAAATCGTGACCGGTGGATCCTCGCCATCCGGTTCCTTGGGTTTTTTTCTTGTTAGGTGGTTTCTGGGGTAGACACGGGATACATTTTACTTTTTTTCCAGTGACTCAAAGTGAAGCAACCAATAGAATCTACATTCTATAACTGAGCCTAGCTCTGATCATGGTTTAGGGTTTTTTAGAGCTTTTTTATGGTTGTTTAATGGTTTTTTAGGGTTTTGTGGGGGGTTTTCCATTTGCCCGCAAGTCATTCCCTTTTTGCAGGGGATCAGAAACCGAAGAGCCCAGGTTGGTGGTTTGAAGAGAACCGGGCTGAAAACAGTTTCATGCCCAAAGGCTGCCTTCTGGCTTCACCAGTCAGCAATCCCAAGGCTTTCTTTCACTGAAAGCGACCAATTGGGGAGTGACTACCAGTCAAAAAAAGGCCCAAGGCCTTCTTTCACTGGGAGCGATTGAAAAGTGAGTCGCGGCAACCGGCACAAAGTGGGTTCCACTTGGACATCAACCCCAAGGTCGCAGGGACGGACTGAGAACCGCTGCGCTTTCTGGTCTTCTGCGGCTTTTGTTCCACTTGCGAAGGCTGTGGTTCTTTTTGCTAACATGGGTTGGAAGAAACCCAGGAAATCCAACTCTGATTTCCTGGGTTTCCCTTGAAATTAGTGAGGTGGGTGAGTTGCGAAGAAGAGGTTCGGTGAAGAATGCCAATTTCTGTGAAACACATGGCCATGTTTGCCTTTTGGAATTTCAGTCGGCTACAACTGCACCTAAGCGAAGCCGTGGTACCTAGAAATGCAACCTGAGATCCTTTTGGGCCTTTCAAGAATTCGCGTGGGGTAAAGCGTCAAGATAATTACCTCATAGCACAATGAAAGCGTGAAGTTCTAACATCCTATTTTATGAAAATATTGAAATCTTAAGTTCCCACATTTTTTTGTTAAATCAAAGACAGTAAGCTAAAACATGCAATTGTTTCGCTCTCGTTATTGACCGACTTCTGCTTTCAGCAAAAACACAGCGAGCTCGAGATGTTGCCAGGATCAAAAGGCAGGCACCTGCTGACCAAGGAAAAATCAACCCCAGTTTGGAGTGGTCTGATTCTCCACGTTTCACCTACTAACAATCTGGGGTTGATGTATCCGGGGTTAACATTATATACTGTGGATGGACAAAATCCCACTTGGCAGGGCTGTGCCATCATTCGCAGGGGGTTGTCCCTCGCAAGGGGTGCGAAGGGGATTTTGTTCATCAGTATGTTCAAGGTTGCCCCGGACCAAATGACCGATCCGGGGTAGCAAATTGGTGGGCCGCTCTATTGTCTGCCAGAGTTTTCGGAAGCGAGATGGGTGATTTTGACTGCTTTCCTACAGATTGTTGGACATCCTATTCCCATCCCCACTTCCATCCCATTCCCATTTCCATTTCATTGCCATCCCCAACATCCCATTCCGTCACATTCCCATCCCCACTCCCATCCCATTCCCCCGAGAACATGCGGCACATGGACGTTCACAGTGTTCGCCTATTTGGCACCTGCGTGACAGCATACCTTTTCGGAGTCCGTGCGGCTCAAAGGCGGCACAGAATGAGCTGGCTCTTTGGCGTGTCCGGGTTGCGTCTGGGCTGCTTGGGGGGTCGTGTCCGCGCTGTTGTCGTGTGGGCTCCGGGTGTCTGGGTTGTGTCCAGCTTGTCCGGGCTTTTTTCGGTGCTCGAAGTGTGAAAGCGAAAGATGTAAAACCGCCCGTCGACGTGCAAAATACGGCTGCGCGGACGTAGCAAAAGGGGCCCCGCTTCCAATTCGGGGGCCGGGGTGCTGTTTGTGTCGCTGTCCGCCACTGGTGTGCTTGCGCTGCTGTGCTTTGTGTAGGCAGGGGGGTGCCTTGGGCACTTGCGCAGGGGGAGACAGTTGGCGCAGGAGGGAAAGAGTTTGGTGCAAGGGGAAAAAGGTTGGCTGTTTGTGTCGACTTGCGGGCCATGGTGTGGCTGGGGGAGTCAGCTTGTCGACGGGCCACTTCCCTTTTGCAGCAGTTGATCAATCAGACAGGCCTGAACCTTTGCATGGCATCCTTGTACGACGTTGTGCGAGCCAGTTTCCCCGATCAGTGTGGCGTCAGCCGGAGCTGGGCACGTTCGTGGTCGTTTTCGCTCCAGTCATCACGCAGCATCAGTCCTTCGTTGCGTTCGAAGACACGCAGCCGGCAATGCTGTGCATGGTTGATGTGAACGGCCCATGCCATTACAGAGGTCCGTCTTCGTGGTGGAACACTTGCAAAGGCTCCCAAATTGGCCTTTTTCCGCAGTGACCTCTGGGCGCTTCCCCATTCCCTTCCCACCACACTCCCTCCCATCCCACTCCCAGCCCCACCCTGTCCATTTGCGCTCGCTCTCTCTTGCTAAGATTCAGGTTTGAACAATCACTGGTTCCGCTTGTTCCACTTAAAGGGGGACAAACATCAGATTGTGTGAACAGAAGAAGGCCCTTCAAGGTGCTGGGTTTCCTTTCGGCTTCCTTCCCCGTTTTGAAGAGGGGGCCCTATTTCAGGAATCTCCTGTGATTGCAAGGCTTGAGCAGAAGATCCTATCCCCTCAGTCACTTTGGCAGTTTTCATTGCTGAATCGATCTGCGCATCCTGGACCTTGCCGCGCTGAGGATGTTCTCTTCATTTTTGCGCTGGTCATGGGGAAGCGAGGAGCACTGCTTTTCCTTTGTTCGAGCGCCGGGTAGTTCTGACCCAAGGGCTTGAGAAAGGCTTGAAGTTGTGTTGTTCCGTGTCATGAGGGTGCAGGTCTGTCGGGGGGTATGTCTCAAGATCGGGGGCCCCAAAAAAATTGGGGCTGGGGCAGCGGTCTTTTTCTGTTCCTTCTGCGCCCGTGGCTAGTCGTTGCGACCTTGGAGGAAACCAATGCTTCCATTTGGTTACGCATATTTGTTTTCTTTTTATTGTTTTCCCCTGTTGGCTTTAAAGGGAATCTATCACTACTGGACATGTTTTAAGTATTTCCAGGGGTCTTAAGCACATGGAATGGGTCTTCATTACGCCTACAAAAAGCTAGACCTTTGGCTCAGGGGAGACGAGCAAGCCAGGACTGAGGGTTTTTGGACGGCACACAATTTGTGCGGCTGTTTCGAGAGGACCCTTCGAAACGCCACGTGTTCGCCACGGGACCCCCCCAAAAGGGACTTGAGTCGCGGGGACTATTTCCCGCATCCATGGCAGTATTTCTTGCGAAGCATCGGCAAGATGGCTTCCACCCTAAACACCAAAGCTACTGGGGCCCAAAGAAATCAGGAATGGCTTTTAAACATGGGGGTGGTTTGGGGTAGGGGAAACCCTGACAGCTGGTTCCCTTGGTTGTTGAAAGGGAATCCAATAGGAAGCCAATCAGGCTCGGCTGTTTCCAGCGCGAACGTGGCGAACAAGAGAAACGGATCGTTGATTTCTCCAGGCCTTTACGAGCACAGCAAGCTCATGTTGCCCATGGCGGCCATTTTTGCGATTCACGTGCTACCTGCGGCGGACGGCCGGATATTTTTGTTTGGGGGGGAGCTTCAGGTTTGGCGGTAGGGTTGGCTGTAGACAAGATTCCTTTTCAAGATTCGACCCTGGCATCCTGTCTAGATGCCTTTGGTGCTTTCTGGATGTGAGGGGTCCATGTTCATTTGTGCAAAGGGATAGGGCCACGCACCCAGAGTAGTTGAAATTTGCTGAAACCTCCTCTTAACAAACTCCACGTTATATTTGTTCAGGACATAAGGCTTCTCACAAGACAAACAACCGTGGAAAGAAACCTATGGAGGCAAGCAACCGATGGGCATGTGGGTCGTTCTTGGGACGCGACATGGAAACCCATCTAGACCTTGACGGCCATTCAGTGCAGGATCCTCTCAGGATTTTCCCAAAGTTTCCCTTCGGAGACCGGTGGCTTGTGTGCCAAGATTTCAACCAACATGGAAGCAGGCAAGGGACGTGTTCAAGAGGATGGTAGGCTTCTAAAACCTCCGATGGCCGACTTAGACCTTTTTTGTTCCAAGGCAAGCACCATACCCCAATCCTGCGCCCTTTGTTCGGGAATCTAAGAAACCGGTTCATTCCCAACATCCAGTGTGGTCATTCCCTATCTCACCAGCAAGTTGAATTGACAGAGGGTCCCGACTCGAATGGATCCTTGTCTCGTCCTCTGTCCTCAACTTGAATCCGAACGGAGAGAGGAGAAGGAAGAGGAACAGGAGACGGCCAAGGGAAGAGTTCTCCAGATGTAACCGTTCATTGCAAGGATTCCGAATTCTGAGGTCTAACCGTTGACCGTGAGTTGGAGGTCCTAGCTGGTCCAAAGGCCGCCCACTCGGTGCCATTTCTGCTGGAGCAACTCCACCGACGCGGTGAAACAAGTAGAATGCCTGAAGGTTCAGCAAGTCAGGGAACCAATTGCAGGTTTTGGAGTTGTAAACTTCCCCTCCCACCAATAAAAAAGCCGGACCCTGACCTACGGGACGCATTTGTTTTGTTGTTTTTTCCTCTTGATTTTTTTTGGGTCCTGGTCCAACTCCAGGACCGATCCCCCGAACGTCGAAGGGTTCCGGCTGTTAAGTGGTGGGGTGAGCACAGATTTCTCGCTGTCCATCTCGCTGTCATCTGGACCGCTGAGAGGGGAGGACTCAGACCGAAAGCTTTCATGGTCCAATGTCTTACCGGTTCTCTTTAAAGGAACGTGGCTCTATGTTTTGCTGTTTTCTTTTTTCATTTTTTGTTCCCCCGAGAGAGAGGGTGAGACCGGGCGCCCTTGGCTTTTTAGCAGGTTCTCCTCTTCAGGTTGCTGGTGTTGATAGGTGTTCACCTGAGAGCACGAAGCTGTTTTTCCCGGTTGCAGGTGTTTGGCCCCCTCCTGGCTCACCCAGCCAGTAAAAACACGCTGAGCCACGTTCTTCGTGTTGCTCTCCCTTTATTTTAGTGGTGGCCCAAAAAGTGTACAGTTTTTTTGGGCTGGTCACTGGCCAAGTGAGCTGGACCTTAGGGTGTCGGAGATGAGTTTTCGTTGGATGTTTGGTTTGCACGCCAGGCTCTCCGGATAACGTCTACCACATGCCCATCAACTACATCTTGGCTCCGGCCTCAGCGCTCGAGAGGATCAATCCTAGTGATCAAGCCTCCTTACCTTTGGTGAATGTTGCTTGGATTAACTTTTTGCCAACTAAAAGTTAGACCTTTAGCAGGGGAGCAGAAAGCAACCAAGCTATGTGGGCCGTGGTCTTCGGCAATGAGAGTGCACTTTGGCACAGCGAGTATACATTTTGCATGCTGCTGAATCAGTCTCTGCCGTTTTGGAGAGGAGTAGGAGCAAAGTGCGCAAGTGGGAACAGTAAGAACCCACTCTGTGTTCCAATATTTGTCCGAGTGCCCAAAACGAGTCTGCCAGGAAGCCCCTTGAGGGGCCCAAAAGGCCAAAGGAATCGTCTCAATGGAGCGGCACAGCAGACGTGTCTTAACTTCTTGTATCATATTGGCAGAATGTGGGTCACCTGTAAACGTCAAGCCACTGCAAGGTTTGAAGTGGGCCATGGTCTTCGGTCGCTCGTCTAGCGTGTTCCAGGGTGCTTTGGCCCGGATGAGATCTACTCGTACATCAAAGGGTGAGAAAAGTTTACTCAGACACCTTTTCAAGAAGCAAGTTCAGAGCATGCATAATGGAAGTGCACTGCGAAATGGCTAGTATCAGTGTGACTTGCAACTGCTCAGCGGCTATAGCGATGCACTTGGCGTGTTGCATCGGCAAGAGAAGCTGACGTCGCCCGCAACTACACCCGCACAATTCACAATTATGCGGGCAATCGTCGTGGTGTCCTTAGAAGAAATCCTTGTCAAGGTGATCTACTGCAGATTCCCTATGGAGTCCATGACCATCCCTATCAACCCCAAGTAAAAGGAACAGCTTTTTGGGCCGTATGGTCATGGTTTCTCTTGCGGCCGGAATACTCAGATTTGGGCTTTCTGAATCTGATTTGGACATTTGAAGCCCTTAAAAGGGAAGTCTCAATCCGGCCCAGATTAACACATCCCCACGTCCCTCAAATGTGGAATTGGGGCAGGTGACCCGTGGAATTCCATGGTTCCATTTCATCTTGCGGGGATGGAATTGGGGACACACCACCCCCCTCCCTCTTATGGTAAAGGGGATATTAACACAAAGTAATTATTACGCGCTGGGGGTTGTTCTTGTTGTGTCCCAACCATTCAATTGCAACTGGGAGTACCTATTGGGTTGAGCGTATCAGGTTATGTATTTAGGGCACGTACCCATCCTTGTTCATCTTAGGTGTTTTCAACACAGTTTACAACAAAAACACAAGAAAAACAAGTGTCCGGTTGAAACCATTCAGGTGCCAAGCCTCAAAGAGCAGTTCCAAGTTACTCAACAACAGGGCAAGCGTTTGGATGATTTCACCCATCCCCCAGTTCCCTCCTTCCTTTTTTCTTGGTCTTTGTCGCCCCCTTTGGTTTGAGCAAGGGCTTTGCCAGTCAATCTTCAGAAGGTGAGCTTCAAACCTCAGAGAGTGCCGCTTTTCGCCAGGCGATCGGCATCCTCATCGCCTGTGCTGTTGGGGCGCTGGGCATGTACAACGACTTCAAGGACGGGACAGAACTCGCGGATCTGTGCAGCCGGCCGCTCTTCTTTCTTTTTTTCTCCTGGGCTTTTTAGCCTCTTAAAGTCGAAGTCGTTGCCCCCATATTTCCGTATTTCCCGTTTTCGGCGCTGGGCTCGGCCTGAGCTTTTGGGGTAAACCGCATCAACCCTTGAGTTGCCCTTGAGCTTTTCTACGAAGCCAGCAGGAGATTCGACCAATTCACCGACTACCCCAATGCCACGGCTTTTGGTGAAGTCGCAAAACCCTGGGGCCGGTTAAAAATAGACGGTCTTGCAAGACCCCGAAAACACCAGGTTCCACGGCCAGGTGGACAGGAGGATGGCCTTCCTCCCACTATCACGGCACCTGACAGAGGCTACAAGAAGAATTTCATCTTTCAGGGCCTCCCACAGGTGCTGTGCTACGTAGTCTAGGTCCCTTTGACCATTTCTTTTTTGGGGGAGAGTTCCCCTACTCAAATAGACTACAGAAGAAAACTCGGGCACCAACTTATTCTAACCTCAAACTACTGGAGGACCTCGGCTTTGCGGGCTTCCAAGCGGGATGGTGGAACCTCGGATGAGTCCAAGGCGGTTTCACCACCAGCCCAACTTCTTGAGCAAGTCGAAGGAAGAAGCGCAAGGGGATGGTTCCAGGTACGTGGGGAGGGTCACCCCTTTGCTTCCCATGCGGCGCACAGGCCAACGATGGGGAGCCGCCCAGCCGGAAGCGGTCCGGCCCGCCGGGGCCCCGGAAATGGGGGGCCGGCGGGGTTTTCTTGGGATGCCTGGGAGCATCCCAGAAACCTTCCCTCAAATGCAAAGCCCAAATGGCAGTGGTGGTCAAAACCGTTTTGGATCCCATTTTGGTTGGTAGGTGAATTCACCACCCATTTTAGAACCTAATTATTTACACGCTGACGCGATACAGCCGGCCACCGGGCACCTTGCCCTGCTCGTTCTGTACTTCCCTTTCCTGTAAGTCCGATTAGTAGATGTTAAGGTTTTCAGATTCTAAAAACTTTGAGATTCTAAGGGTCTCAGATTTGAAGACTGTCGGAATTTAAGGTTTCAAGGGTTTAAGAATTAAGGTTTTAAGATTTAAAGTTTTTGAAGGTTATAACAGCCAGGCCATTGCCCAGCCATTTTCCATCTATTATCAGATTTCGAAGGCTTTAAGATTTATTTTCGGAGATTTTCAGATTTGGCGACTTTCGGAATTTAAGATTTTAAGATCTCAAGATTTCAAGGCTTCAAAGTTTCAAGATTAAGAGTTTAAGGAATTTCAAATATAGCTACGACTGCAAATGAGAACATGAGAGTCCCGTCCCAGAGACTTGCACGCTTGACAACAAGGACCCCAGCGCGAGCCCTCGTGCAAACTGCCCGACTGCTACAACCACAGAAGCACGCTAACACGCGAAACCCACACGCGTAGGCTGCAGCATCACGCATGCGTAGACCGGAACCATGGCGGAAGTTGCCCGAAGTTGCCCCCAGGGCGCTTCTCAGTCATGTGCCTGTGCAGTCAGGGAGACGAAGCAGGAGCCGCGACTGCAAACGCGCTCGAACGGGTGGAGGCGGCAAGTTGCCCACAGGGCGCCTCTCAGTCATATACCGCTTCAGCCATGGAGAAAAGGCGCTGGTCGCGCTAGCCGGGGAGTGCAGGTTGCAGTTGCTTCCGTTGGATGTCTCCCGCCCTGTCACTTCATTTTCCTGCATTTGAAAGTCGCTACTCGTTATCTACCTGAAAGTTGCCCGCAGGGTGCTTCAAGAAGTGGAAGGAGGGCAGGTGCCAGCCCGTCAAACCCACTCCCGCACTTCCAGTCCCTGCACGTCCTTTCCTCTCCTGTCACTCGAGCCCCGTCCATGTTCCCATCCATTTCCAAGCCATCCCAGCTGTTTTCTCCTTTAGTGTACTTTTTTTTGTAGTTACCAGCAATCATCCACAAATGCCTATTCATCTTCCATCCGTTTTCCACCAGGTCCACTCCTTCCATACATTATTACGCATCCATTCTCCAACACTGTTCCACCCGCTTCCACAAGCTGCCAGCAGTGTCGCCGTAAGAGCAGTTTGGCAGTTTCAAGGGAAGCCGATGGAAGCTAAGGGGCGCCAGACAACACAAGCAGACTGAACACCCCGCATCTGTTGACCGTGCGCGGCACAGCGTCGCGAGGCATTTTGCAAGCGTAGTTTGGCAGTTTTAAGGAAGGCCGAGTGAAGCCAAGGGACTCCAAACAACATGAGCAGATTGAACAACCCACAGCCGTGCAGCGCGCGTGGCCACGCGCTTCGCCCTGTTTTTCTCTCGCGCACCAGAGCGTAGCTCCGGGCGCCTGAGTGTCCCAGTCCGAGGCAGTGTCTGCTGCAAGTGAAACAGAGGGAAGCCGAGTGAAGCCAAGGGAAGCCAAACAAAGCTAGACAACACGAGCAGATTGAACAACCCACTCCTGTCGACCGCGCGCTGCACGCAGGGCCGTGCCTAACCCAGGCAGGGTCGTGGCACAAGCAACGTCAGGTGTCACACAGCGCCTGAAAAATGTTCGTCGCACAAGCAGCAACATGTTTCACATAGCAGCCACCAAGAATGTTCATCGTGCTTGCAGCAACACGTTTCACGCGGCAGCTCGTGATGACGTTCGCCGCAGAAGCAGCAACATGTCTCGCGCAGCAGCTTTCAAAAACATGCGTCGCATCAGCAGCAACATGTGTCACACAGCAGCCACTGCAAACGTCAGTCGCTCAAGCAGCAACATGTGTCACGCAACAGTCACGTCGGACTAGCAGCAACATGTATGACGCAACAGATTCGTCGCAGTAGCAGCGACGGAACTTTTTTTTTCGTCGCATAGCCTCGCAGGCTAGTTGCAAGAGACCAAAAAAAAGGTAAGAGTAGGAAGCAAGGTCCACTTCAGCAACAAGCCCTTGGCTTGGCGCCAGGTGGTTGGAAACCAGCTCTGTGGGCAAGCCAACCCTTGAACCGTTTCAGCCAAGCAAAGCGCCTCAAACAAACCTGTCGCTGAGGGCTGTTTCAGTAGTCTTGTGTTTCCTCAACGCGGCGCGACTCTTTCACTGTAAGACACGAAAAAAGAACGTGAAAACACCCTGGGAATGTCACATGTTGTGCATTATTGCCTACAAAGGCAGGGCCGACTTGCGGTGTTTTATTCGTAGCAGTTGCAGCTCGCAGCTCAGACTCGTTCAAACTCTTAGACAGCTGGAGCCGCACCTGAAACACGCCAACAGGCGTCAGCCACATGCGCATAGTCAAGCATCACGCGCGGTCTAGCGCCGGAAGAAGGGGAAAGTTGCCCGCGGGGCGCTTCTACATCACTCGCGTGTTCGGCCATGGACAAGGAGCTGCAGGCTGGCGACAGTTGCCCACGGGGCGCTGGGAACTGATTTAGCGCGCATGGCAAGCGGGGCTGGGCACAGAGCCGGGGGTGTAGTCGTGGCAGTTCCTGGAGATGGCTGGTGCCTCTTCCATGCGGTGGCAAGGTACGGGGCCAGGCCTGGAGCAGGTGCTAGGCCGCGCTGGTGTCTGCGTGCTGCAGCGGAGATCTACTTGCAGGCGCTAGAGTGGCTGTGGGCGGCGCTGGCTGGACCAGATGCCGCAGCAACTGAAGCAGCTTGCGTGCCAGAAACGGAGGCGGAGTTGGAGCGACACCGAGAATTCGTTCGACGGCGCGGCGGCGTGGAGGCACAGGTTCCAGACGCCAAGCTGGTGCTGTGGAGTAAGGTGCTGGCTGTGGTGGAGCAGCCCAACTGTCTGGACTCCTTCCATCATGGGACCAGCGCAGAATTGTGGGCGCTCACCCAGCAGTTCGACTTCGATGCTATAGTATGGAGCGGCGTCCCTGACGCGAACTACTGGGCACGAACTCAGACTCGTGTCACAGACGCAGAATGCCGGACGGCAGTGGCTCGGCTCCCGACCGTGCTGCAGCTGCTGCACCGAGAGATCGGCAACGTGGGGCACTATGATCTGCTCGGGACCGATGCCGTGTCTCCGCAGCCGTTTGCGCGGACACCTTGGGTGAGGCGGTGGGCCGAAGGCGGCAGTGAAGCCATATGGGAAGTGCTAGGCATGCCAAGGCGGCCCGAGCGCATCCAGGCTCCAATTCCTGAAGCGGAGGCGGACGTCTGGTCCGAGCCAGAAACCAACAGTGACGTGCCCTTGTCAGACAAAAACTCTAACAAAATAGACATGGAAACCGCTAGTGTGCCAAGGCGGCCCGAGCGCATCCATGCTCCAATTCCTGAAGCGGAGGCGGACGTCTGGTCCGAGCCAGAAACCAACAGTGACGTGCCCTTGTCAGAAAAAAACTTTGACAAAATAGAGATGGAAACCGACAGTGTGCAGTCGTGGGACTCGCAGGATGCCAGCGACGAAGCTGAAGAGCTCGGCCCGGTGGCGGTGGAAGCCAGCAAGACGTGGACCACCCTGGAAGACACAGACATCCACCTTGCCGAACAAGTGGCATCCCTGCTGCGGCCGACGCCGCTGCTGCCGCCGCCGCTCCCGGCCTGGAGTGCCAGCATGTGCGCGCCTGCCTCAGGAATAGTCTACCCCGCCGTGCATTGCGCGTTTGCAGGCTGCGCTTGGTGCAGCGAGATGCAGCCGTGTCAAGAGGCCTCGGGGCACGCTGGAGCGTGGGTGGTGCCAGACTTACACTGGACTCGCCTGAGTGGCAACTGCTGCGGCAAGGCGAACACGTGTCTCTGGGCTCACTTGGCCGCGTGCCACTGGGACAGCCTGTGTGCCGGCCAGCCAGGGCAGGAGTGGTGGCAGGCCAAGAGCCGGTACATGCAAGCCCTTGTTTGCCGAGAGGAGGCATCCGTGCCTGCAGTGGGCTGGAGCGTGGATCGGCGCACGCTACGCCGTCTCCGACAGGAGAGACGCGAGGAGCACTGCGTGGCCTTGGTGTGCGCCTGTTGCGCGGGAGTGCAGCCTGGAGGTCCTAACGGCAACGTAGGATATGTGTCAGTGCGCGAGCTGTTCACAACCGTGTCAGCCGAGAGCTTTGCCGCGAACTGGAGCTTGACAGAGTACATTCGCAAGTACGGCGAGCACGCGGCCGTGAGAGATCGGCTTCCAGAGCAGGATTGGCAGCTGTCGCTGCCGCCCGATCTGTTTGAGGGGCAGCGAATTCTGTGCTGCCCAGAAGACCGCGTGTGTGCCGCGTGTCCAGCCACGCAAGAGCAACTCTGTGCTGAGTGCAAGCTGCCACTGTGCCGGACATGCTGGAGCCGGTTGCGGCAGAGCACGTGCCCGCAAGTCCCGCAAGCTCTGGCCAATGACAACTGGTACGGGTATCCTCTGAATTTCTTATATCAAGAAAAGGTGCGGTGGATTGAGGCCGCGGCAGCATGTCCCGTGTGGACGTCCGTGGTGAGTTTCTATATAGAGGAAGATCGCGGGCACCTGATGGAGGAAGAGCTGCATCGCAGCGACTTCCGCGTGGCCGTGCGAGGCAATGTTAGCTCCTTCAGCATGCCTTGGGAGGAGATCTACGGCAGTCTCCACCGCTTAGGGGCAGAGGCTGTGCTGCATCAGCTGCCGCACGCGGTCCCGGTGCTCAACACCATGGTGAAGTTGACAATCAAGGGCATGCGGCACGCCGAGATCGTGGAGTGGGTGGCGCGAAGCTTCGCCCGTGGATCGTCGTGAGGTTGTTGGAGCACCTGATCGACAGCGGACATCCCATGTGTGAGGCATGGGCAGACAAAGCCGCGCT